AGATCACATAGTTAGTTCTGTTTTTGATTTTGGGGGGAATCTCCATATTGCTTTTCATAGGTGGCGCTATTTTACATTTCTATAAACAGAGTACAACAGTTCCCTTTTCTCTACGTCTTCGCCAACACATTATTTCTAGTCTTTTTGACAATAGCCACTCTTAACAAGCGGTAAATAATATGTGAAATGTAGTTTTGATTTGCATTTCCCTGATTATTAGTGGTGTTAAGCACTTTTTCATGTATTTACAGGACATTTATAAGTCTATTTTGGGAAAATGTCTCCTGCAATCATCTGCCCTTTTAAATCAAACTGGTTTTTTGTTTTATTTCTTTTTATTTTTGCTACAGAGTTCTACGGGTTCTTTATGTGTTCTGGATATTAATTCCTTATCAGATATATAATTTGCAAATATTTTTTTCCCATTCAGTAGTTTGCTTCTCATTTTAATAACTACCTTTGGTGTGCAAAAGTTTTTTAGCTGGATACAGTCCCACTTGTTCATTTTTGCTTTTGTTGCTTTTGCTGTCAGGTTAAAAAAATCATTATCAAGACCAAAGTCAAGGGGCTTACTGCCTACATTTCCTTCTAGGAGTTTTGTGGTTACAAATCTTATATTCTAATCTTTAATATATTTTGAGTTGATTTTTGTGTATGGTTGAGATTGGTCATCAAGTTTTATTCTTTCGCATATGCCTGTCAAGTTTTCCCAACACCATTTATTGAAGAGAGTATCCTTTCCCCATTACACACTGGCTTCTTTATTGTAAACTAACTGACCATATATGCATAAATTTTTTCTGGGCTTTTATCCTGTTTCATTTATCTATGTGCTATTTTTTTTTTTTTGAAGTTAGATTATCTTTATTAGTAGATGACACAATCTTAAACATAGAAAATCTTAAAGAATAACAGCAACAGAAAATGATCAAAACCAGTAAATGAGTTCAGTGTAGTTACAGGATATAAGATCAATTTTTTTTTTTTTTTTTACAAATAGTTTATTGTCAAATTAGTTTCTACATAACACTCAGTGCTCATCCCCAAAGTGCCCTCCTTCATGCCCATCCCCCCCTCCCCCCCACATCCATCAGTCCTCAGTTTTTGTCAGCATTCAAGAGTCTCTCATGGTTTGCCTCTCTCCCTTTCCCCCACCATTTCCGCCCTTCTTCTTATGTCAGCACCATATTGTTTTGATTACTGTAGCTTTGTAATATTAGTTTAAAATCAGGGAGTGTGGTGACTCCAACTTCATTTTTTTTTTTCAAGATTGCCTTGGGTACCTGGAGTCTCTGTGATTCCATACAAATTTAAGGATGATTTGTTCTATTTCTGTTAAAAAATGCCATTAAGATTTTTTATAGGGATTGCACAGATCCCTTTTGGTAGTTTGGACACTTTTATAATACTCATTTTTCCAATCTATGATCACAAAATATATTTCATTTGTATCTTCTTCATAAGTTTTTCATTAATGCTTTATAATTTTCAGTATATAGGTCTTTCACCTCCTTGGTTAAATTATTCCTAGGTATTTTATTCTTTAAAAAGAATTTATTTCTTTTTTATACCTGTTTATTTTTGAGAGAGAGAGGGAGGGAGGGAGGAAAGGAGAGGCAGGGGTAGAGAGATGAGGACAGAGGATCCAAAGTAGGCTCTCAGCTGACAACAATGAGCCTGATGTGAGGGTCAAACTCACAAACCATGAGATCATGACCTGAGCCAAACTCATATAACATGACCCTTAGCTGACTGAACTAGCCAGGTGCCTCAGATTTTATTCTTTTTGATGCAATTGTAAATAAAATTATTTTAACCTCTCTTTTTGATTGTTTATTAGTGTATAGAAATGCAATAGATGCAAGATTATTCATGAGAGCGCCACATTTTACTTTTTATATCTGCTAATTAGGCATGAGTCCAATAAATCAGAAATGATGATGTAACACACATTTTTGGGATATCATTGAAAAGACTGCTTTACATAAAGAAAACAAGATTTTCCAATTCTATGATATAATACACCGAAATCAAAGACAATTAAAGCAATGATAGGACAACAACACAGCTAAGCTTTTTGATCATCAAATATGTGTCAGGCACTATTCTAAGTAATCTATGGCAATACCATATTATGAGTTATCATTTCATTTTACTTGTGAAAAAACTATTAGTCAAAGAGTTTAAGATCACTCAGTATGTAAGTAGAAGAGCCAGGACTAGAATCCAGGTCTTTGCTTCCAAAGTCTATACTCTTTATTAGTTTGTTTATACTGCCTGTCAAAATGTATAATGCATGGCATTCAAAGAAAAAAAATTCAATAAATAGATTAAAGGAAATATTCATGTTTATACAAAAAACTATGTTTTGACCTGTCAAAAAATTAAATAAAATTAATACAAGTTAAGGAAAATAAACAGTAAAGGAAAATAAAATTAATACAAGTCACATTATCAAACAGTAAACGAAAATACAGCTTTTTCCATACAGGGTTATGTCTATTAATTCTCAAAAAATGTTCAATGAATGTCTTCTAAGTGACAGAGATTGTTGGAAATACTGAGGGTAAACAACAGAGGAAAAAAACTGACAAAGTGCTTGACATCATGCTTGTATTTTAACAATAGGCTAAAACTGGAAATTATGTAATCAATTCAACAGCTATTCTTTTTTTTTTTTAAATGTTTGAGAGAGAGACAGGGTGTGAGTGGGTGAGGGCTGAGGTGGAGGGGGAGAGGGAGAGAGAGAGGGAGTCGCAAAATCCAAAACAGGCTCCCAGCTCTAAGCTGTCAACATAGAGCCCAACGTGGGGCCCGAACCTGACAACAGCAAGATCATGACCTGAGCTGAAGTCAGAAGCTCAACCAACTGAGCCACCCTTCAATAGCCATTTAAATTGTAAAAACACCAGGATTAGAATAATTCTTCCCTAGCACAGAGCATATATACCTTCAGAAGCCAATATTAAAATTCTCCAAAGAGTTTTGAAATTCTTGATACTGTAATAGCATATGAAAAAGGGATAAAAAAAGAAAGGAAGATAAAATAATCACCTGGGAAGCATGGTAAAAAAGAGATGTCATTTTAAAGTTGTAGGTATAACAACAAGAATAAGAATGGTATCACATTACATGATATTTATAACATATATCAATGTAAGAGGATCTTTTTTTAAAAATTATAAGTCTATTGGGTAATTAAAAAAACATTTGACTCAGTAAAGATACATCATCCTAATGTCATTCAATTAGGTCAAAACACAACATAAAAATGTCTGTTACCCCCAAATTAATTTATAACTTGTACAAAATTCCCACTAAAACACGATTTTTAAAAAATATATAGATAAAATTATTTTAAAGATCATATGAGGAAAGAGTAAAAATAGAAAATAAATTTTGTGGAAAAGATAATGTACGACTACCAGGACTAAATATTTTAGCAATAATATAAAGATTTCTGAATCAGAGAGATATGGGTCTCTAATTTTTCCCTGGGAGGTTGGGGGGGGGGGGGGGCTGGGGCTGAAGATAAAGAGGAGAGGAAGTGACCAAGATAACTGTATTAGAAATGTTTCCAAATTCCTCTCTCAGTGTTAACTTTACCCCAAGCCCTGATAACTAACCAGAGACCGTTAAAGAAATCCCCCTTCCCTTTGTGTTCCTGAAACAGTTTACTACAAGGAATCATTCTTTCTCATATGACTAGTAAAGATTCATATATAACTCCTTTGTTTACCTTATGACAGGCTAGACACAGACTCCCCTTCTTTGCTCAAAAATGACTACTTGGAACTGTTCGTACCCAGTGATTAATCTTAACAAAATATCTGTTACCTTGACTTAACCAAAGGTAGTTTAAAAGCTTCTCTACTTCCCTGAGACATGTGAACTTTGACCCACCCACAGTATTAACCAGCATACACCCTGAAAGCCCCTCCTGAGAACAGGCTGATCTCAAAATAAAACATTCTCTGTACTATCCTATCACTCTACCTCTCCACCTACATTCATTTCATTTCTTCAACAGGTTCTTTCTAGCCATATTTCCTCTTCCTTCTACAAGAAAAACCTTTTCTGTCTGACTTTTTAATTTTTTTTAAATGTTTATTTTTGAGAGAGAGACAGAGTGGGAGCTGGGGAAGGGCAGCGAGAGAGGAAGACTTAGCATCTGAAGCAGGGTCTAAGCTCTGAGTTCTCAGCACAGAGCCCAAAGGGATGCTGAACCCATGGGCCTAGAGATCACGACCTGAGCCGAAATCAGATGCATACCAACTGAGCCACCCAGGCACCCCTTTTCTGCCTAACTTTTAAGACACTTACAGATCTCACTATGATAGCATTTTCCTTATTGCAGTAGTTCCCATTCCCCTATTGCAAAGGTCCCTTTCTCCATTCTTGCAATAACCCCTGTGAATAAACTCTTCCTTTACAGGATTCTGGATTTGCTTTTTATTTAGCAAAAGGCTCTAATTCTGATGTAGCACTAGGAGGGCAGGGGAGAGAGAGAGGGAGACACAAGCTGAAGCAGGCTCCAGACTCCGAGCTGTCAGCACAGAGCCTGATGCAAGGCTTGAACTCACGAACCATATCATAATCTGAGCCGAAGTCAGGAGTTTAACCTACTGAGCACCCAGGTGCTACTTCTAATTCTCACTTAGATAATAAAGTGTAAAAGTAAGCATAATCTAGGATCAACTTGAATAGAGGTGTAAGCGTTCACCATCAGAAGGTCAAATAAATAATACAAAAGTGAATAGAGACTCATTCATTTGCCTATTTTATGGTAAGTATTGACTGCGTTATATTAATCCAGAAATGAATAAGTGGAGGGAAAAAAAACCATGATCAATGATTTGTATGCTGGTGAAGGGGAAGATGATTAATGACACAATACCACAAACAAATGTACAGACTTAGCTGGGTTAAGCTATACAAAGAGATATAAGAACTTTTTACATGGGGAAATGAAAAGTCAGAAAAAGCATTTATTTCTGGAAATGACAGGTAAATTGAGAAGGGATGAGGAAAAAAGGTATGGTAAAAAGCATTTTAGGCTGAGGAAAGTACACAAATATCTAACTCTAAGACGAAATAGAACAGGTTCACAGAACTTGATAAAAAGTGATGTTTGCAGTGATTCTTGATTCACTGTCATCCAGAAGCATCAAGGCACTCTTTATGACACCTTGACCATGGGAGAAAAAGATGCTGATTGGAATAAAAACCTGGTTGTGATAACACACTATGAGCTTTCTATGATGTTTACTTAGCTTAAATATAAACATGAAACCCTAAGAAAATGTGAGGAAAATTACTGAATACATACTGTGGAATTAGGAGTGTGGTATGGAAAATAAACATTTATGAAACTGACTTAGGTACAATAATTAGAGATTATTATCTCATTCTTTAAAAAACTGTTCTTTTACAAAGGGATTTACTATTAATATCCTTAAATAAAAACTTAGAGTGTTTATAATTAACTAACATAAAATGAATTTTTTTAAACTTTTGTATTTATTTTTGAGAGACAGAGACAGAGACAGAGCATGAATGGGGGAGAAGCAGAAAGAGGGAAACACAGAATCCGAAGTAGGTTCCAGGCTCTGAGCTGTCAGCACAGAGCCCTACGTGGGGCTCGAACCCATAAATCGTGAAATCCTGACCTGAGCTGAAGTCGGATGCCCAATGGACTGAGCCACCCAGGTGCCCCAAAATTAATTTAAACTACATCTTTATTTAAGTACCATGCTCAGATACCAAGAGACTTATTTCTTTTCTTTTGCATTCAATTAACTATGGATTAACAATCCTTACATTGATGCTAATCAACCAACAAATCTTCCAACAACTGTAGACAAAGAATTTCCAAGTCACTAACCAAAACAATTTAGCTAACCAAGTAAAATATTCAGGAGTTTTGAACAAGATTATATTTTATTCACTTCTTAATCCTCATAAGAACCAATCCAATAACTAGTTTTAGGCCCCATTGCTTTATTTTCTATTTTTGAAACAATTTGTTGTGAGATAAATAGGTGTGAAGGAAGGAATATCTGGTGCATTTTATTGCTTTAAATACATTCTCATCAAATTGCTGGAATTACAGCTTAAGTTTAATTCAATTAATGGAAAATGCTCACCATACACATTTTTCAGAATGTAATAATAACTACAATTTACTGAGCTCTCTTTATGTAGAAGTACTGAGGTAGGTATATTGTTCATATTATATAATTCAATTCTAACAGCACACTATATAGAGTTAAGTACCACCAAAGAAAAAAATTGTGAAAGATCTTGAAATGGATCAAAAATATTGCAGATATTAGTAGAAGGCTATGCATTTTTTTAAAGAGCACAGCCATCTAGATTATCTGATTCTATGAGGTTTATACATTTTATCACCTTTGAACTATTTTAGAAGTATATAAATTATACATTACTTACAGTAATAATTCTTGACTCTAAATCAGTAAATAAAATCTGACCCTACAGGGAGAATTGAAATCTGCCACCCCAACAAAAAGTCAGTTTTGTAATACTTGTAGATTGATTTCGAAGACCACACATGCCTTTGGACTTTGAGTTTTCTTTTAAATCAATTGTACTTATCTGTTCACTCATGTATTATAAGTTAAAATTGCTGACGTGTTCATTTTCCATGAGTCATGAATTTACCCTTTTAAAATTTTTAGACTGTAAAATTACTATGATTATCCCTATTTAAAAAAAAAAGGAAACTAAAACTTGGAAGAAGTTACCTGACTTGCCCAAGTTTCTGCTTGCCAGCTTTGCTTAACTCTATAGCACATCCTCTACACCCCTAATCACTATGCCTTGCTAAAATCTAGACTGTTTAGTTTTTTACTTCATTATCTCAAGTATCTCGCCATCAAAAGTACCACAGAACACAGAAATACTCTAGAAAAGCTGTTCTTTAAAAAAGATGGCCGGTGACATTTCCACTAGATAATTTAATTGGCAAAGACCATCCAGATTATCCAACCAACTAAACAAATGAGACTTTTTTCTCCCCAGAGAGCTCTGACTTTATTTTTCATTCTAATAAATGAATATATTATCCATAGACATTTTTTTAATAGTTTCTGAATTCTAATTCCAAAATAAAATGAAAAGGAATGAAACCAAGACAAGAGTTTTATCCCCTGGATGAAATTAGATATTGTCATTTGTAGTATTTTTACTGAAGCTCTCTTTGTTTTGCTCTTAGGCAGCAGCAGAAACACAATCCCAAACTGTACACATGTTTAACATCATACCATAGAACAATGCACCACATTAAAGGTTATAAGGTATACAGTGGTAAAAGATTCTCTTAATAGAAGGTATAATTAAGGGACAAAAAATTTTGAAAGAAAAAAAGAAGGAAGAAAGGAAGAATAAAGGGAAGGACTCAGTGAGTAAGGAAAAGAGGGAAAGAAGGATAAGATATACACATTTTTGCTTCACATTAAAAAACCTGACATCTTTGCTGGTAGTGAACATCCCCCCCCCCCCCAAGAGAACATGCCCCTCACAAGGACCTCCTGCACCCATCCGTGGAAGAAAGGAGGAAGCCTAAGAAGCAGCAACTGCTGCAGAGCCCCAACTCCTACTTCATGGACATTAAGTGCCCAGGATGCTACAAAACCACCACCATCTTTAGCCAGGCACAAATAGTTTTGTGTGCTGTCTGCTCCACTGTCCTCTGCCAGCCTACAGGAGGAAAAGCAAGGCTTACAGAAGGACGCTCCTTCAGACGGAAGCAGCACTAAAAGCACCCTGAATCAAGATAAGTGGGAAACTATCCCAATAAACAGACTTTTGCTAAATAAAAGGAATTTTAAAAAATTAAAAATAGATAAATAACCTCACATAACTTAGAAAAATGTCACAAACCCATTAAAAATATCATTTCGAAAAACAAAACACTGCTTTCTTCACCTTATTTTAGCTACTAAAGTCTCTCACAATCTAATCCAACAACGAAAGGTGTTAATTCACATTTAAATTTTTTTCAACTGCAAGGAGAAATCACGCTTTGAATAGTCAACTTTACTCTGGAAGACCTAAATTACTTAAAATTATTCATTAATCTTAAAATTGGCTCCAACAAAAACCTCCTTTTTAATGACATAAGGTTTGACAAGCCTCTGTGTTGCATCACCATCTGCCACATCCTGCTCTGATATTTATAAATACAGTTGTGCTATTGACGGTTCTACAACTGTTCCAGGTGTAAGACATTAGATTAGAGAATTCTCTTTGATCATTCCAATGTCATTTCTCCTTTTTAAATGCAAGCAGTCTGGACTGTTCTCAGATTCCCAGAGGTATGTCTAGTGAAAATCTTTTTAGTCTCTAACTGGTTTTTTTCAGTTGAAATAGGTCACAAGAAAAATAGATAATCAGAAATACATATTAATACACAGATTAACTGCTTTTTTTAAAAAAAAAAAGAAAAGAAATATGAAGCTCTTGATTTTCATCACTTTTAATTTCTAAATACTATGGGACTCAGTTGCAAATGTTACATGGTTCCTGAAATACCAGTTTTACAATTTTTGGTTCAACATGTTTCTGTTCATTCAAATATAATTCTTGAAACTTAAAATATGTTTTTAGGAACTCAATGTACATAGTTTGGGCTTTGAAACGTAATTCTGAAAACTGGTTCATTACATGACATTTCCATCAAAGGAAAAAAAAAACAGTAAAAGCACTCCTCCTCTCTCCTTCAGGTAAAATCCTGTATAAAAATATAAACATCCTAGTACTTAGTTCTCTCAAAATTTAATTAAAAACAAAACAAACACTTGGTTAAAATTTCATTAGTAGCTAAATAAAAATATGGAGGCTTATCTTACTGGGAAAGAGAGGACAAATTGGAAACCAAAAACTTGATGATCAGAGACCAGTTTAGGACTTAAAAGACAGAAGTACGGATCTAAGAATTCAAGAAGAGACCAAGTTAAATGTCTAATACTTATGTGAAGAAAAAACTCAGATCTATTACGGATGGTCTTATATATATAATCAAGGAACAACATCTGTAATTAAAGTTGTCGTCTCTACTAGCTAAAGACAAATGGAGAGAGGGGTGAGGGACATATACAAATTTAGTAGTTTCCATGAAATGATTTAAAGTACAGCAAAGAAAGAAGTATGAGCTCATCCCAAAGATCTTTGCTTTAAATGAAAAATATGCTTTATGTACAAAGATGGCAGGCACTAAAGTAATAGATAATGGTTACTCTTTATTATCGAATAGAGTCATAAAAATTCATATAACCTCAACATTTTGGGGGAAAACAGAAGAGAAGTAATAATTTACTATGTTAAAAAAGAAAATCACAAGCCCAAAATGAAGTCACTTATGTTAAGAGTCCCACATGAGCAAATCAAGACCTAATACCTAACCTACCTGCAGTTTTACTACCCCCAATAACGTAACCTTTAACCAGTCAATAAGAAACTTCCTGGTCAGCACTAGGAAATGTACCAAGAGACCCTTTTCTTCCCCTTAGGAGGGCAACATTCTATCCTAATAGTTTCCTTTTTTCATTCCTTTTCTGCCTTTAAAAACTGATCCTGGGGTACCTGGGTGGCTCAGTTGGTTAAGCCTCTGACTTCAGCTCAGGTCATGATCTCACAGTTTGGGAGTTCAAGCCTTGCTTCTGGCTCTCTGCTGTCAGCACAGAGCCTGCTTCAGATCTTCTGTTCCCCCCACCCCCGCCCCTCCCTCACTCATGTACTGTTCTCAAAATTAAATGTTAAAAATTTTTAAAAATAAAGTATTTCCTTTCTACTTATGAGATGGGATGCTGCCTGATTCATAAATCATTTTAAAAAGCCAATTAGAGATTCAAATTTTCTTGATTGAGTTTTGTTTTTCAATAATTCTACTGATCTACATATAGTTCAGTTAACAAAAGATAAGAAGACACTTAAAATAGTTGTTAGATGCCCAGAATTATGACAAACTTTTAACAACTACAGAACATTAGAAAAGTCACTAAAATAATTTGCAAGGAACATAAAAACAAGTGAACTTTTATAACTTAAAACAACATAGAAATACCTCAGAATACCTCATATACCTGATCATCATGCTTCTGAAAAATTTAGTAATTCACAAAAAAAGCATAAATGTCCAAGGATAAAAAAGGTATCTAAACATCAGAAAACTGCTGTTTCTATGAAGTATGAAGGAATGAGTTAGTTTACTCAGAACTATATTTAAAATGAGGGATACTTGATTTTCCTTGACAACCTCCAATTCTTTAAAAACTGAAGCTAACTGTAAGAAGTGGAGAGGATATGTGAAAATACTCAAGACCTCACACATATAGATGAGTCAAAACTGAAGTCTTCTAAGGAAGAGAGAAAAATCTCCAGTAAGGAGAGAAATCTGATGTTCCAGTTAAAACACCTGGGTTCTAATTCTGCTTTACCTAGTTGCTTATTATGGCATTTTTGTCTATCCTATTTAATCAGAATCCTTCCTTATCACTAAAATGAAGACCACATCATCTTGTCTATCTCCTAAGCTGTCGTAAGGATCTAAGTTTTGAGACAGTACACAGTAGCATAAAATAAGGATTGAAAAGAGGTAATGTAAGTAAGTTAACTATGCCAGGTTTAAGAAAACCAATAGCCCCAGTGTGGGAACAGAAAACAATAGGCCACTGGTCTTAAGGTAGAGTAACGAAGTTTTTAGAATGCTAATCCAAGAATGAACATATCAGACAAAAAAATTTTTTTAATATAATAAATAATTGTGGAACAAACTGGTAGCTCAAAACTCGTTCTACAGAAACATCAAAAGAACAAAGAATAGCAACAACCATTAAGCAGACCAGCATATGTATTATGGAAATCCGAGGAGAAAGAGAGAGGCATAGAAAAAAATATTTGAAAACAGGATGGCCTAAAACTTCCCAATTTTGATGATATACATGAATTTACACATCCAGAAGCCCAATGAACTCCAAGGAATATAAATTCAAACAGATCCATACTAAGATTTAACCAAATTATCAAAGACAAAGAAAGAATCTTAAAAACATAATGAGAAGTAAATAAGATTAAAAACTGACTTCATCAGTAAACATAGAGACCAGAAAGCATTGAGATGACATTTAAAATGCTAAAAGAAATGTCTACCAACAATTCTATATCCAACAAAAGTATCCTTTAAGAAAAAAGGAGAAATTGAGATATTCCCAGATAAACAAAGCTAAACGAGTTTGTTAATAGACTTGTCCTGCAAAAAATGCTAAAAGGAGTCCTTGAGACACTAGTTAGTAACTTAAAGACATAACAAAAGATAAAGAACACTGGTAAAGGCAACTATATAGGTAAATACAAAAGCCAGTATTACGTGGTTTGCAACTCCTCTTTTATTCCTGCAGGAATTAAAAGGCAAATGAATAAAATGATAATTATAAATCTATATTAATGGGCAATGTACAAAGATGTAATTACTGGCAGTAACAATTTAAAGGGGGAGGATCGAAAGGCAAAGGAAAGGACTGTTTGCATGCCATTGAAACTAAGTTGGTACTAATTAAATTAGGTCATTATAAGTTTAGTATGTTAATTGTAATCCCCAAAGTAATCACTGAGAAAATAACTAAAATACATACACAAAAGGAAATAAGAAAATCAAAATGGTACGCTACCAAAAATAAAAAAACATACAAATGAGTACTTGACATGGACTGAATTGCATCCTCCCAAATTCATGTTGAAGCCCTAAGCCCCAGAATCTAAGAGTGCAACTGTATTTAGAGAAAAGGCCTTTCAAGTGGTAATAAAGTTAACATGTAGCCCTTATGGTGGATCCTAATCCAATTTGACCATTGTTCTTATAAAACTGATACAAACAAATAGACACCAGGAGTACCCACAGAATGGCAATTATGTGAAGAGGTAGCAACAGGAGAGAGGACTCGGAAGAAATTAAAGCTGCTGATTTATTGGAATTTAAATTTTATAGGCCATTTTTTATATTCTTTATATATAAATGTACGATGTTTTTAAGAGAAGAGTTAAAAAAGTGGGATTAAACAAATATTACCAGTATTTAGAAAAAAATGACAACGATGTGTTTTTTTGTCCAAGGAATAGAACAGTTTTACTCTATGTGTCTCCTTTCCAAAAACACTTCTCTGAACTGAGTAGAACCATTAGGAGAGTCTTCTTTTTAGTGTGGTAAAACTGAGTATCATTAAATGTGTATTTCATTTTGACCAGTCTGCTTGTATCTAGTGAATGTTCTTGGTGTCAGTCCTGTGATGATATCAAGCTAAATACCCTCTCAATAAGCATGGAATACTTAGGATTGAAATTATTAGTAATGGCAGGTATTTAGATTAGCAAGAAATTGTTTCAAACTCCACAAAATATGCATTTATTTTGAATCTAAATGCTTGTTTTGGTATTCCAACTGTTAGTCAATCATGCCTTTTTTTAAAAAATTTTTTTAATGTTTTATTTATTTCTAGGAGAGAGAGAGAGAGACAGCGTGAGCAGGGGAGGGTCAGAGAGAGAGGGAGTCACAGACTGAAATAGACTCCAGGCTCTGAGCCGGCAGCCAGCACAGAGCCCGATGCAGGGCTCGAACCCACGAACCGCGAGACCATGACCTAAGCGAAAGTAGGACGCTTAACCGACTAAGCCACCCAGGTGCCCCCAATCATGCCTTTTGCACTGATAGATTAATTATATATGCTTTCCATGTGTAAAATAAACATCACTTCAGAAGCACACTGGTAA